ATCGTGAGATTTTGAGTGAAAACCTCCTTCCATCAGCAAGGGCATTGAAGATGAAACGTGGCTGGGTCTTTCAGCATGACAATGATCCCAAACACACCGCCCGGGCAACGAAGGAGTGGCTTCGTAAGAAGCATTTCAAGGTCCTGGAGTGGCCTAGCCAGTCTCCAGATCTCAACGCCATAGAAAATCTTTGGAGGGAGTTGAAAGTCTGTGTTGCCCAGCGACAGCCCCAAAACATCACTGCTCTAGATGAGATCTGCATGGAGGAGTGGGCCAAAATACCAGCAACAGTGTGTGAAAACCTTGTGAAGACTTACAGAAAACGTTTGACCTGTGTCATTGCCAACAAAGGGTATATAACAAAGTATTGAGAAACTTTTGTTATTGACCAAATACTTATTTTTCACCATAATTTATAAATAAATTCATTAAAAATCCTACAATGTGATTTTCTGGAATTTTTTATCTAATTTTGTCTGTCATAGTTGACGTGTACCTATGATGAAAATTACAGGCCTCTCTCATATTTTTAAGTGGGGAACTTGCACAATTGGTGGCTGACTAAATACTTTTTTTCCCCACTGTATGTGCTGGACTTGGTTTCATTGTATTCATTGTACAACATTAAACGTCCCATCAGTTTGATATGGTGTTTTCTGAACAAACTAGCTAAGACATGAAGTCACAATTCTCATGTTTATTCCTACACTCTTAGAAAAAAGGTGCTAAGTAGAACCATACAGGGTTCTTCGGTTTGTCCCCATAGGGCAGGGGTGTCAAACTCATTCCATGGAGGGCCTAGTGTCTGCTGGTTTTTGTTTTTTCCTTTTGATTAAGACCTAGACCACCAGGTGAGGGGAGTTCCTTACTAATCAGTGACCTTAATTCATCAATCAAGTTCAAGGGAGGAGCAAAAACCTGCAGACACTCGGCCCTCCATGGAATGAGCTTGACACGTGCCATAGGGAAACACATTTTGGTGGCAGGTAGAACCCTTTGCAGAGGGTTCTACCTAGAACCCTCTATTTTGGTTTCTTCATAGAACCCCCTGTAAATGATTCTATCTAGAACCCTCTATGAAGGGTTCTGCCTAGAACCCCCTATAAACGGTTCTACCGAGAACCCATTTATCTTAGAAGGGTTCTTCGTAGAACCCTCTATGAACGGTTCCACCAGCCTTATTAGCCTTTATAATTAAACATTTTATGACAATACATTACATATATCATAAGACATTTATTTGAGGGCCTAGTTATACCCTAACACAGTGATGTTAGGAAATTCCTGGTTTGCAGGCTACATCAGGCCTGCAAGTCACATTATGCTGGCTTGCAAGTGGTGTAATTCCTATTGGAATCCAGCCAGAGTGAGGATATCCAACAATTGGAATTGATCACCTGCAACCTGCATTCAGAATGACTATCAGTGTAAGGAAGATTGAGTAAGGAGACTACCTAAATCATCTAAACTGGAAAAACCATCTCAGTAACTGGTGCAATAAATCCAACTACTAACAGATTGGATTAGTTTTGAAAAATGTATGTTATTTATCTTCGTGTGTAGAATAATAGTAATCAACAAATCAATGTACATGCAATAAGACAGATATTGAAACAAACAATTCTGAAACTCAACCTGCAATAGAGCATGCTGGGAAATATAATAATGATGGGCGTAGTTTTGAGTGTTTTACTTTACACAGAGTAAAAATGACACAATCACACTCAACTCTGGTTATTAACACCAACACTATGGTTATTTTACACCTCTGAGTGTTAAGTTAATTTAACTCCTGAATCAACACTATACATGTTACAGGGAAAAATCAACACTAGGTAAAACTGGCCAATTTGCTGTGTACCATACAATAATTACCAGTCCCCTGGTAATTGATTTTGTTCACATGCCTGCCTATAAAATAAGAAATATATGTTGGTAATGGTTGACAGTTACTCCAAATGGATTGAAGTGTTCCCCACATCGAGTGATATATGTGTATTGCTGTTGTTGTTTTCTTAGTTTTTGTCTTGCTTCAATAACAAATCTCACCAGATTGGGTCTGCTGAATGGTTGGGATTTCTCCCTAAGGATTAGCCCTCTAACTTCCTGACCTGTAACTCTGCAGTGAGATCGCCAAGATGATAGGGGAGTACAAGCCAATTTGGGGGAAAGAAAATGGTTTCAACTGTGTGTTGTTATTTGTTTAGAAATCTGTATTAAGAATATTGGTAGTAGTAATAATTTGTCATACAGTAAATCATCTGTCTGGATTTCCTGAATCAGGTAGTAGTAATAATTTGTCATACAGTAAATAATTTGTCTGGATTTCCTGAATCAGAAATGCCCTAAACTAAACTGGTCTGGTCTGTCCTCTCTCGAGGTTATGTCGAAAGTGACCACAGATGGTGTCTAGATGCATGGAAGGGATCATTTCACCAAGAACCTCCCCCTAACCTACTGCAGCAATGGCGAAAATGGCGTTCAATATGGTCCTTCACCACTTCTACCTTGAGACCTGAGTCCGAGCCAGCAACCAGTCGAAGCTATCAACTGCCATTTCTCTCATGCATTTTCTCTCAGGAGTACGACATGAGTCCACGTGGAGTGAGCATGGAGAGATCCCATCCAAACTTCTTTCATGCTGCTGGTGTACTGGTAGGAAAATGGACAAGACATAATGGACTGTAAAGGACAGTGGTGGCTCAGGTGAGAGACACAGCTTGTTCACTTATTTCCTTTTATTCTCCTACTCTCTGCTTAATTAAATCACAGAGAATAATAATTTGAAAGACAGAAATCATGGCAAAAATATCCACTATGTCTACTGTTTATGTAAAATGATTAAGGGAATACCAGATACATGCACAAATATTCCCATTTAGGTACAGTTTAAAACATTCTCACACCTATCTTTTTACACTTATCAGATTACTCAAACTCCTGATGTTAAAGTTTAAACACTGAGGTAAACACTAATGCTCGGTCACTATTTAAAATAAAGGAAAAAATACGATAAAAAAGCTTATTCAGATTCAGAAGGGTTCTATGTAGAACTCTTCTTACCTTCCCAATATCAAAACCTATGCATAATGGATGAAGTATGACTTGAGTTACTGTGCATAAGGCAGTTACTGTGCAAAGTATTACTTTTATATGACCTTTACTGTCCATAAGGCGGGCCAGACCCTTACATCAATATATACTGAACAGAAATATAAACACAACATGTAAAGTGTTGGTCCCAAGTTTCATGAGCTGAAATAAAAGATCCCAGAAATTTTACATACGCTCAAAAAGCGTATTTCTCTCAAATGTTGTGCACAAATTTGTTTACATCCCTGTTAGTGAGCATTTCTCCTTTGTAAAGTTAATCCATCCACCTGACAGGTATGGCATGTCAAGAATCTGATTAACCAGCATGGTCATTACACAAGTGCACCTTGTGCTGGGGACAGTAAAAGGCCACTCTAAAATGTGCAGTTTCGTCACAGAACACAATGCCACAGATGTCTCAAGTTTTGAGGGAGCTTGCAATTGGCATGCTGACTGCAGGAATGTCCACCAGAGTTGTTGCCAGAGAATCTAATGTTAATTTCTCTACCATAAGCTGCCTCCAATGTCGTTTTAGGGAATTTGGCAGTGCGTCCAACCGGCCTCACAACCGCAGACCTCATGTAACCACGCCAGCCCAGGACCTCCATATCTGACTTCTTCACCTGCGGGATCGTCTGAGACCAACCACCCGGACAGCTGATGAAACTGAGGAGTATTTATGTCTGTAATAAAGCTATTTTGTGGGGAAGAACTCATTCTGATTGACTGCGCCCCTGCCCAGTCATGAGAAATCCATAGATTAGGGCCTAATACATTTATTTCAATTGACTGATTTCCTTCTATGAACTGTAACTCAGTAAAATCATTGAAATTGTTGCATTTATATTTTTTTCTGTATAGTTCCTTTGCTGGGCTCACCTTCATTGTCGTCAAAGATGTTGCAGTAGGAATCAAGGAATAGATTACAGAAATCCCTTTCTGAGTCAAACATAGATTGCCTCAAGGTCTTGAACTTTGAGGGGCATACTGGATAGCAAAACAAACAGAAAAGGTACACAGGATGTTATAAGGATCTCCTCAGTGCCCCTAGGACCTCTGTCGAGCCTTACGAACAAAAAGGTCCCTAGTCTAGTAATTATGGTTCAAGCAGTATCATTTTACCATGACCTGCAGCAATCTATCTTTGTCACTACATAATTCATATATAAATACTGCATAATATAGGCAATGTCCAGTTGCAAACCACACATGACTAGTGCAGTTAATAATACACTCCACTGATGTTTCATGAATGAGCTAGCATTTGTTAAAAACATATCTACTTTGTATCTTACCGTATGAGTGACTCGGACGTCAATGCACAAGCTGCTAAATCACAGATTTAAAATCTTTATTTTTGTTTTTGTAATTATTCGTTTGTTGTTTATGCAAGTTCTGATGGCTTCTCTACCACTTCTGTGGTGTTTGACTGTAGAGTAAGGATCCATACACTGGATAGTCTCTCCTGAGAGGTGTTTATACACATCATTCGTTACTTGCTATTTACCTGTCATTCCTGTCATGCATCACATGACTTACCTGAGGCTAATTCACAGGTTCAGATATTGGAGCTATGGTAATTCTTATTAATGCAAGCTATATGCATCACACCACCTGAGGAAAACTGTGTGTCAATCAGAATGCATTATGTGCTGCTCTTGGAGTTTATTAAAAATGTTTTTACTTTGTAAAGATTAAATAATCAAGATTAAAGGAATATTGCTATATTTATTTACACAACAATCTGTTTAAGCAGTTGGTTCAATGATATATTGAAGCTGGCAGCTGTTGTATGAATGAGGTACAATAAAACTCGAGCCAAAAAGCATGCAAAAAAAGCTTCCATCCAAAAATCTAACAGGAAAAATACCCAAATATACATCTTCTTCCTATCCGTCTGCCATCCATCATGACATTGCAGTGAACCCCTCCATATGATACAGGCCATCGAGGCAGAGTATGTGAGGCCGTACCAAGTTAAGGACGGGGCTACGAGGGGCTCCGGCCAGGCAAAAGGCCTCATCCACAAGCAGTCCCCAGCCTCGTAGAGTCTTCAGGGCACTGGCACACACATCCCTGGAGCTCCACACTGTCATCAGGCCGGTGCAGAGGGGGCTGCCCTCCAACCCAAATCTCCTCCTCATCTCTCCCAGCAACACGGTAAACTCTTTCATTGAACCCTTGAGTACAGACAGCAATACTTTAATTTAGTGAGAGAGCAAGTAATTAATACAACTCATATATAGTAAGTGCATTATCAATGGAAACCCATACAACATTGTATACACTGCTAAAAAGAAAAGTGCTTTGCGGTTCTATATTGAACCCGTTTTGGTTCTATATAGCCATGTCTTCTAGAAGGGTAGGACAGGTATGTTGTTATACTATAACTACTGTACCTTTGCAGTTTTAAAACCCTGGAGCTGGGTCTCGGTGAAGCCCTGTTCTCTTAGGTCATGCAGCATCTCCTCTGAGGATCCAATCACGTCTCCTGAGAACACCATTTTGAGCTGATCCACTGTCTGATGATGTGGGTCTGTCTGACAGTACAGTAGGGCTGCTGGAACACCTGACACAATGGCCAAAGAAACAGGGGAATTTAACTGTTGGATTGAGAGGGAGATATAGATTGTGTGTGTGTGTGTGTGTGAGAGTGAGAGAGGGGTACTTAATTAAAACATTTACGATAACAAATGTTCAAATTAAGGTTTGTTTCTGAGTTCATGTAAGACTTCGAAACACCATACCTTTTTGTAAGGCCTTGCACACATCATTAGTATCCGTTGACAGGAACAGTTTCACATTGTATGATTGCAGGGTCTCAATGGAATCCTCCTTGTTGCAGAAGCAAAATCTGCCAATATCAAGACCTTTTGGGGAATACAAGAAATACAAAATAGTGATTCATCTTACATACAGTATCTTGTTGTGTACTCACCCATACCCCTATTGTAGGCCTAATTCAGAGTGTATGCCATACCATAATGTTTTGCACTGGCAATGATCCTTGAGTGTTTTTCTTCATGGTCATTGGACAGCAGAATCACATCAAACAGCAATGTCTCATCAGAATTCATGGTCAGCAGTCTTTCATTCACTACCTGGATGGCCTGAGGAGGATGAAAGCATGCAAAGCCATAGAAATATAGTTAGGCCAACTATATTTCTGTAAAGACTGTAATTCCATTTATATGTGCATAACCATTTTAAATGTAACTTTGTAATATTGCTACCCGTGCATACATTATGTGTGCTTAAAACAATGAATGTTCACCTTGATGAAAGAAAAAGCATCTCCCTTTCTCAAAGGTTCTGTTGCTCCATGGACTTGCTCAGCTTCTGGGTAAAATATTGCGTTTGATGACACTGCAACAACCACAGCCTGAGCTGTGTCTCTCTAGAGACAGAAATAAACATCCAATAACATTGCTCAAACATGGACGTATACAAGTCGTTTTTCTGTTGATTATTATGAAAAGACCGTTTTGCCGCAGGATATGTGGCATGACGTTGTCTCACCTGCTTGACATCGGGGTTGCGCACCATCGCAACCATCCTGCTTGATAAAGCGGAAGAGAGAAAAGTTTGAAAAATAATAACGCAAAAAATCTCCAAACTCTCTAAAGTTGTTTAACCTTGAAAACGAAAGTACAATGCGAATTGACTTTCAGGAATTCTTTAGAAGGTATTTGTTCTTGCAAAATGGTCTATTTGGATAGGCTATAATGACAAACTTCAACATATGTTGAACAAATTATGCAGAATAAAGAACCATTTCAACCAGTTCCCTTTTGTCTGAGCGAGTTCCGTCAGATTGCCCTACCTTTCTACAGAGTGTTTTTCCGTACAAAACCCCCCAGATACTTATCCAATACTGCCACCCGCTGTACAGGAGTAGTAGGACTAGCAAAACTACACAAAGTATGAGATTATCCCCTAAAAATGTGATATTTGTACTCCAAACAATATTTCAGCTAAACCATATTTGATATTGATTGGATGTATTTGTGTTGATGTAATCAACCATCAACTGTGTTGTTTATTTGTCATGGAAAACATATTTGTAAATTGCATATTTATAAAACCAAGAGGACATAAAAACTTGATGAGTCCATCAATAGAGCACATTTGTAATTTGAATACTGGAAAGTAATGAGATAAATATAAATAGTTAATGAGATGATAGGAGGGGTGACCATTGACTCATGGAAGGACGGTTGTCACTTTGCACAGTGGTGTAACAGAACCATTTTTTATGCAAATATTATGTGAATGTAAAAATTGGTTGTGTTTACTCTTGCTTTCCCTCCAAGATGTTATTTGATACTCTACTGTAGAAGGCTATTACCCCATGTGTATAAAACATATCCAGACTACTATGCTATTTCCTATTCAATCGAATGTCTCTCCTCTTCTAATCCTGAGATGGAGCCAAGCATTCCAATGTTGTACGTGTTCCCTGACACGCACACACACACACACACACACACACACACACACACACACACACACACACACTGTGTGGTGTCACTGTGTGTACATGACGTGTGGTAGTCACTGCCTCTGTTACATGTGTTAGGGAAATACATCAAAGTTTCCCACAGTGGAGGCTGGTGGGAGGAGCTATAGGAGGGCGGGCTCATTGTAATGGCTGGAATGGAATAAATCGAACAGAGTCGAACATGGGTTTCCATATGTTTGATGTGTTTGATACCGTTCCATTGATTCCATTCCAGTCATTACAATGAGCCCATCCTCCTATAGCTCATCCCACCAGCCTCCTCTGGCTTCCTACCATACCTATCTACAAGTTGTAACAAAATGTGGGGAAGGGATGATTGGGATCAACACACATCATTGGAATAAAAAGTTCTGGGAAAAAAACGTATCTGTTATCATTGCACAAAAAGTCAAACAATATACCAGTGCAATATTTACACATTTACAAGAAACCCACTCAAGCCTCTCCAAAAATCGCTTATCACGTGACTGTCTAATATACTTTTTTTTTTTTTTGTAATATAGGTAAAACCATGGGTGTGTCATTCTGGAAATGTCTTTGTTGTGTTACTCATTAAGTATACTGACACATGCATCAACTCTGTGAATAGATTACCTAAATGTGTGTGTTTGTAAAGTGTAAACACTGTATGGCTGAAGATTGAGTACTTGAACACTACAGAATGATGTGTTTAAAACAGAATACACAGCTTATTGTGTTGTTTAATACTAGTAACAAGTATCTGTAACATAGGTCACTCAAAAATTGTATTCTAAATGAAACTGTGATACTGCAGTTGGAACAATATTAAAGACTACAGCCTGACTAAGTTGGCCTTAATCTATTTAGCAATGAACTATGCAAAATGCATATTGGTATAAGCAGAAGAATAACTATTTATCTTTCCCATGCGATCACGTCTTCTTCTCACTGATCAAACACTTCATACAGAACGTTTATGGACTGATCCAGCAACTTTCAGACTTTCAGGGCGAAGTGACTTCCTTCCCCTCATTTGTTGTTATCCTGTAACTCCCTCTTGCTGGAGAACTGCATGGATGACGGATAGAGTAATACAGTCTTCAAGTAGGCTACATTAATAAGGATACAAACTACATTGGTACTGAAACAGTGAGTGTTAACTCTGTGTTTACGTATATGTTTTCCTATATTGTAAAACTGTATTCTGTCAGAATATAGGTATCTATTGATTCCGTTTTTTTTGGGCTGTTGTATGGTTGTTGGTTGTGTTCATGTGGATAAAGACTCAAGCTCTTGTGATACAAGTTCTTGTGGTACTTTGTCTTTCCACTTTTGTTCTAACATTCAAATAATGTGAACTGTATTTACCACACAGCAAATGCTCCAGGGTTAAATCAACACTGAGAGTGTTAAATTGAACACTGTTCCAGTGTCTATACAGGTCCACACTTTTCAGTGTTAAATTAACACACTGCTTAGTTTAAAGCCTTATTTGCAGATTTCCCAAAGTGCCTTTCAATCAATTGTAGAGTTACCGTCCGTGACTGTATTTGCTAGTGACAGAGACATGGTTGTTGCATTCATTCATTTTCAGTTGTTTGGCCTTCACCAAGTGAGATCCTAAGTGAATATATTATCATTAAAATGCAATTCTTTAAGACAATATAATACGTATTTCATAAGGCCTTATTTTGAGGGCCTAGTTTTAATCTAATACAGTGGCCTGAAACTCATGGTTTACAGGCCACATCAGGCCTGCAAGTCACATTATGCTTGCCAGTGTGGGGATATCCAACATTTAGATGTTTCTTCCCACCGCAACCTGCATTCAGAACGACTGCCAGGGTCAGGAAGACTAAGATATGAGACTACCTAAAGCATCTAAACTGGAACAACCATTTTAGTAATGGTGCAATAAATGAAGTAACACATTGGATTAGTATTAATCAATCTGTGTACATGCAAAAACACAGATATTGAAACAAACAATTCAAAAATCAACCTGCAAAAGAGCATGCTGGGAAATATGATACTGATGGGTGTGGTTTTGGTTCAACACTGGTTATTAATGCCAACACTGGGGTTCTTTAACACCAATGAGTGTAAATTTAACACTTACATAGTTAATTTAACTCCTGAATCAACCATTACACTGAAAAATCAACACTAGGTAACACTGGCCAATTTGCTGTGTACATGTAAAGTAAAGAAAAGTAATCCCCTGTGCTATGGCCATTTTGTCTAAAATAATGTTATCAGGGTGTGCAGCACACTCTCTTTTAATGGGCTACTGCCTGTGTGGAGCTGTCATCACTCCACTCTGCAGTTGTTTAACAATGGTTATGGCTAAGTATCCACTCTCCTTTGTAATGGCAACCACGTTTTTGCAAGCAGAGGCACAATGCTTTTAAAGAATGGATGTTAAGAAAGAATGTGTGGGGGGTGTAACTTTAGTTTGAAAATAGTATCAACATCAAAGCTATGATCTCACAACAATTATCTTTAAACCTTTAAAAAAATGGTATAAGGCAATGAAAATGATTAGTGCTTTATCTAACCAGAAGAGGCTGCTGTGGAGCAACACTACAGTAGCTGTGTTAAAGTAGCAGTTGCTGTCAGCAGACCTGAGCTATGAATTACCCAAATTGCTTTTCCTCATTACCTGTTTTTGCTGTTTCCTCTCGATTCTAGGTCTCAGCTATTCACCCTATACATACATCATGTTTCCTAAAACCCCATTAGCAAACAGCAACATAAGCCCTACCACTACTAATAAAAAAACTACTGCCAGCCCCACTAACGCCACACTCGGGTTCATAGACCAGCTGCTGAACAAGATTCCCTGTGAGTAAACCTGTAACCGCACACACCTCTCCCACCACTCATTCTCCCCCACCCCCACCACACCTCTCCCACCTCTCCCTCCACCTCCCTTTCCACCCCCTCCACCTCCCTCTTCCTCCTCCACCCTTCTCCTCCACCCCCCCCCCCCCCCCCCATACTCTCCTGAGTGGGGACCCCTACGCTGCCCCCCATCTGTCCCACTTTCAACAGACATGGCTGGGTAGAGCGGCCTGCCTGCCCGGGCACCTGTTTCCATGTGTCATATCTAATTACACTCCAAGCGCACATTTCTTAGCTCTCCATTTTCACTTGTTATATACGTTTATATCTCCTTCATCCGGCTGGCTGTGCTCTTGCTGCATGATTCAGATGTGTGAGACAACTTGACTACACTGACTCTCAGGACTCGGCAGCTAGGGGCTGCTGCTGTCAAATAAATGCAAGGCAAATGTGTTCAAATAGCTCTCCATTTCTACTTGTTACAAGTTTCTCTCTCCTTAATCTTGCTGGCTGTGCTCTTGCCTCATGCTTCAGAAGTGTGTCATAATGAGACAAACTGCTGTCTTTTTTTGTCTCACGCAGTGCCAAGATGGGCTATTTACATCATCTTTGCCGTCATCGTCTTGCTGATTTTGGTGTGTATTATTTGGATCTGTGTGAAATGCTGTTGCAAGAGCAAGAAAGAGAGAAAGAACAAGCCGGACCATCAGATCAATCTACAAGGGGTGACTGGTTCCACGACTACATCGCTAGTAAGTAAAGGTAGAAGTAGCAGTAGCTTGGTCTTGGTGGGATAACGCAGAGCGTCTGCCCCATTCTATCCATTTCTTCTTGCTTGGATTGGTCGCCGTTGTGGAGGAGTGAAGTAGAGGTGTAGCCTTAGCTCCTTATGTATGTTAGGATGGGCCATTGCTTGAGGGATTGATTGTCTAGCCGGTGAATGAGATCGGCTGGTTCAAGCTATGACAGTGTTCTTGATGGGCAGGTCCAACCTGGCTCGGATGATGCAGACTATGGCTCAGCTAAAAACCGGGGAAGACTACTCTACTCTCTGGAATACAAGGCACAAGAGGTTAGTTAGTCTTTTGACTTGTAACTTTATCAAAACACTGTAGCCACCACAAGCCATAGAACCAGAGTTCCCATTTGATCACAGATTAAACAAGATACACTACAGGACCAAAAGTATGTGGACACCTGCTCGTTGAACATCTCATTCCAAAATCATGGGCATTAATATGGAGTTGGTCTCCACTTTGCTGCTATAACAGCCTCCACTCTTATGGGAAGGCTTTCCATTAGATGTTGGAACATTGCTGCGGGGACTTGCTTCCATTCAGCCACAAGCGCATTAGTGAGGTCGGCACTGATATTGGGCGATTAGGCCTGGCAGAGAACGCATTTTCACTGCTCCAGAGTCCAATGGCGGCGAGCTCTACACCACTCCAGCTGCCGCTTGGCATTGCGCATGGTGATCTTAGGCTTGTGTGCGGCTGCTCAGCCATGGAAACCCATTTCATGAAGCTCCTGATGAACAGTTCTTGTGCTGACGTTGCTTTCAGAGGCAGTTTGGAACTCGGTAGTGAGTGTTGCAACCGAGGACAGACGATTTGTAAGCGCTACGCGCTTCAGCACTCGGCGGTCCCGTTCTATGAGCTTGTGTGGCCTACCACTTTGCGGCTGAGCCGTTGTTGCTCCTAGAGGTTTCCACTTCACAATAACAGCACTTACAGTTGACCGGGGCAGCTCTAGCAGGGCAGAAATTTGTTGGAAAGGTAGCATCCTATGACGGTGCCACGTTGAAAGTCACTGAGCTCTACAATAAGGCCATTTTACTGCCAATGTTTGTCTATGGAGATTGCATGGCGGTGCTCGATTTTATACACCTGGCTGAAATATCCGAATCATCTAATTTGAAGGGGTGTCCACATACTTTTTTATATACTGTATAGTGTATGAATTATCACACAAATGAAGAGAGAAATGTCAGATTTTTCAAAATGTCACTTAAGTTTACTTCAGTGTGTCTTAATTTTTCTACCATACAGCAGTTGGAATTACAGTAATCTTGCATGTGTGTGTGGCCCTTTATCTTCCTCTACTGTCTTTGACTATCCTGCCATCTCTCATCCCCTGCAGCTGACAGTGGGGATTAAACAGGCTGCAGCGCTGCCAGCTATGGACCTGGGTGGCACCTCTGACCCCTATATTAAAGTCTACATCACCCCCAAAAAGTCAAAGACATTAGAGACTAAGGTCTACAGGAAAACCCTTAACCCCGTTTTCAATGAACACTTCAAATTTGAGGTATTAGAGGGATATTCCTACTGTATGTTTTATATGTTTAAGAGCTTTTTAGCCAGACTACTGTTTTTTAAACAGTGTAACTGAGTCTGTTTCTGCACCACTCTTGACTCTTGTCTGACTATCTTGTGTCCAGATTGACAAAGCTGAGCTCAATGAGTCCACCATAGTCATGAAGGTGTTCGACTTCGATAGGTTCTCTAAACACGACATCATTGGGGAGCTGAGGCTGCAGCTCGGAACCATCGACTGGAACCATGTGATTGAGGAGTGGAAAGACCTTAGTGAACCCTCCAAGTCTGAGGTTAGGATGTGACTTGATTTTTGGACCTAAATGGACCGGTCATAATGCTGATACAAGAACAGGAAGCAAAATGTGTAATTGTAGTCTACCTCTGGAATTTGAATACCACAAAGTTCTAAAATCCAGCAGTAGGCCTAATTTTTCTTGAAATACTATATGCCTACATACTGTATTTCCACCTGGTTGTTAATGTCGTTTCTGGTTACCTTCTGTGATTACAGGATATAATTCTGGGGGAGATCTGCTTCTCGTTGCGTTACGTCCCCACCACCAGCAAACTGACTGTTGTCATCCTGGAAGCCAAGAACCTAAAGAGTATGGATGTAGGGGGCTCATCAGGTAGGTCCAAGCCCTGGCTCTCTGAGAGGAAGACTGCATGGTTGATTTTGTGAAGAGGCTAGTTAGGATTAGCCTGGAATCCAGACCGGATTTGTGCTGAAATTCCACTCCTTGTACTCAGTGTCATATGCCAAACATATGACATGGAGTAACAAGGAGTGGACTGTTACAAAACAGGTCTGGATTCCAGGCTAAGTTATGAATATGACAAATAATACTACATTATTATTGTGTCCAGTTTTGATTATTACAAATAATACTGGATGCTCAACTGTCATTCATGTACACTGTAGATCCCTATGTAAAAGTGCAGCTAGCTCTGGACAAGAAGAAGTGGAAGAGAAAGAAGACGTCTGTTAAAAAGTGCACACAAAATCCCTACTTCAACGAATCTTTTACATTCGTGGTGTCTTTTGAACAAATTCAAGTAAGTATGATCGTATCTCAGAATATGGCTAAGATTAGGCCTTTTTGGCTCTCCAGCCAGTTACAAACTCAGCTGCCTGCATGTTATGGAGCTCCAAGAAAGAGGCCATCCCTTTACAGTCCATTGTTATATTTTGGCAAAAAAAATGTAAAGCGTCAATCTGCGATTTGTATATCAATTTTTTGACTTTTTAATGAATGCACTGTAACGGAAAACTGTAATTTATTCGGTAATTTATGTTATTATCAACAGTAAAATACTTTGAAACTTTTTACCGCAGCATACTATAAATTATGGTGCATTGTGCGAAAATGTTGTGGGCGGGGAAATAATTGCTGTATTTCGAATGGTATTCCATTCCATCCCATAGAATACAGTACCGTACAGTACCATGCCTTTGGAGCGGCAAAAACCTTTTTATCACTAGTGGGTGCATTGTATTGTTGTTTCTGGCTCATTATTATATTTTGAGTCGTCCCTTGTAAGAGGCTATAATTTGATGCACCCATAAGTGAGAATGTGGTTATAGTGCCCTATCAATTTAAAATGTATAGGGGTCAGATTGGAGTGGCAGCAAGTCTTAAACCTTAAAGGGGGGCTGAACTTCCTGATTTAGCCTCAGTTTCAATTCTCCTAATTCGGAAATGCGACTGAGAACGGGATTTGTGTCTTGGAGGCGTGCTTTGATATGGATATCTCTGATGTGGGTATCTCGTGAGAAGCGTTTGTACTTTCACTCTGCAAAACAGTATACAGTTACAGTAACTCACCTTTCTAGATAACTTGAAACAGTTTAACCAGGTCTTGTGTTTGGAAGTAGCCTAGACTAGCTACCAAGCCAGCCAACTTCTTTCGCCAATTAGCTTCAGCCGCTGGTGTGCGACCCGTGTTTGGATAGCCTATCTGTGGGTATAGTTAGGGACTGTCAATAAATTACACAATGTAAATGGGACAATATTTTCATGTTGCACATATTTTAGTTGTCTCATTATATGCTTTAAATATTTGCATATTAATTTCTACAATTTATAATTGGTTTGAGGTTTTTAAGTCATTGAAATTTGGAGCAAATGACGTTTTAAAATATTGTCCCCTGTACGTTGTGTAACTGACTGATGGTCCCTAACACAATAGGTTGGGGCCCCTTAATTGGGGAGGACGGGCTCATAGTAATGGCTGGAATGGAGTCAATGGAATGGTATCGAACTCATCAAACACATGGTTTCCATGAGACTGACTTTATGATCAAAATTATCCTATTTACATTTTTTAGTCAATTTTGACACTAGAATACATCTTTCTGACTAATATCGATGCCACATAGGCCATTTTCTATCAGATAAGTTGTTTATTGGCTTCAGTTGCTCTTTAAATGTTTGAGCATTTTTCCATTTCCTTTTGGTCCGTTTTGCCCTGTAGTCACTGCCAGTTTGGAAGCCTATAAAGGTCCAATGCATCCGTTTTTATGTCAATATCAAATCATTTCTGGGTAACAATTAAGTACCTTACTGTGATTGTTTTAAATTAAAATGGTAAAGAAATACACAAAATAGCTTCTTAGCAAATTCTTCTCAAGCAATAATTTTGCTAGGACTGTCTGAGAGTGGTCTGAGTAGGGAGGTGAAAACTGAAAACTAGCTGTTATTGGCAGAGAGGTTTGGAACTCTCTTTCCTATTGGTCTATCAACTAATTTACCACCTGGTGATGTCACTAGGCAAGCCAAAAATCCATCCCACCAAAATAAGCTGAAATTTCAGGTGGTCTTTTCAAACAGCTCTTACACTAAAATTGCATTATCATATTTTTCACTATTTCACTGTATTATTCCAACCTCATAGCATGGAAATATATATAAAACACAGAGAAATCCAGTTTTTGACTGCACTGGGCCTTTAAGGCCTCTAGAAGTGCAAATGACATAAAACACCAAATATTCATTAATATGCTGTAATGTGTAACACTTTACCTAGCAGCCAACCTGCTTGCACCAATCCCTTGTAATTACAGTAAAATACTGTGAAATACAAACCCCTCCCTCAATGAATTTCATTCATCCATTAATTATTTCAGATTACGGTAACATGTCCTTTTTTCTTCTCAGTATAATACAGTCAACTTTACCGTACTGTACTGTGTGTCTATCACAGTACTTGCTTTGATACCGTATTTATAGTAGAGTAGGTGTACTGTAATATGAAATACAGAATTTTACTTGCCATTGAGCTGCTGGTAAATTACTGTCAAATTAACGGCAACCCCTTTACAGTGTGATATACTGTATACCCATTCATTCTTAAAGAATATAACTTAGCAATGCCTCATGAGCTGAGTTCAACTGTCGTGCCCCATCAGAACCCAAAATACACTGAGTATACAAAACATTAGTATTGAGTTGCACCCCCTTTTGCCCTCAGGACAGCCTCAATTCATCGGGGCACGGACTCTACAAGGTGTTGAAAGCGTACCACAGGGATGCTGGCCCATGTTTACTCCAATGCTTCCCACACTTTTGTCAAGTTGGCTGGATGTCCTTTGGGTGGTGGACCATTCTTGATACACACGGGAAACAGTTGAGCTTAAAAAACCCAGCAGCGTTGCACTTCTTGACACACTTACGTCGGTGCACCTGGCACCTAATACCATACTCTGTTCAAAGGCACTTAAACATTTTGTCTTGCCCATTCACCCTGTGAATGGCACACATACACGATCCATGTCTCAAATGTCTCAAGGCTTAAAAATCCTTCTTTAACCTGTCTCCTCCCCTTCATCTACACTGATTGAAGTGGATTTAAGTGACATCAATACAGGATCATAGCTTTCACCTGGATTCACCTGGTCAGTCTATGTCATGGAAAGACCAGGTGTTCCTAATGTTTTGTACACAGTGTATCAGCTTGTTTTACTCCACAATTTGTAAGCAATGTAACTGTAAACAAAACCGTATAGCGTCAAAGCATGGTTAATCTATCATTTTCATATCATGGATGGTCAGTCCTTGCATCCATAGCTCTGTCTATACATTTGAGAGTGGTTACATTTTTCCAACCCCATTCCTCAACTGTTTACAAAAAACTATATTGTTTGTACTGCGGATTGCCCCTTTAAACAAAAAGGTGATGGGACCTCCTCTGTAGAAGTACAGTTTGCAGTGACTGTTCTCTGCTGTTGCTCCCTCCCTCCAGAAGGTTCAGCTGGTGATTTCCGTGTGGGACCATGACAAGTTTACCAGGAACGATGCTATTGGGAAGATCTTCCTGGGTTGTGATGCTGCAGGGAACCAGCTGAGGCACTGGGCAGACATGCTGTCCAACCCCCGTAAGCCTGTGGCCCAGTGGCACAACCTGTTTTCCAGCGAACAGGTGGACTCCACCCTCGACCTCAAACACTCAGTCAGGATCCCCTTCATTAATAAGAACTTTTGAGAAAACTTAGACTCACTTGCCAGACTCATGGCACTTCAGCGGCTGTGGGAAGAGGCTAGAAAGAAATCCTCTTCAGTGGCCTGACATAACCAGCTTCCATCCTCTACTTCAATAAGCTAATAGCAGCTTGGAGTCTCTTGCACTTTTAAACGCTGAAAAATATTCCAATATGTATGCTGGACATTCGGATTTAAATAGTTGATGTATATGCTGCAATTTTTATAGACATTTCATGAAATAAATCCGTGATAGGTCCAACTATTTTCTATGTAGCCCATTGATTATTGGTTTTATAATCAAGCTGAATATAGCATTACAGTCAAACTTGAATGCTGCACATACAGTATGACTAGCATACAAAAAGACCCCATGTTGATTTTAAGATTGTGTTCATTTCAAATGTCATTACTATACTGAACAAAAATATAAACGCAACATACACCAATTTCAACAATTTTACTGAGTTACAGTTCATATAACGAAATCAGTCAATTGAAATAAATGCATTAGGCCCTAATCTATGGATTTCACATGACTGGGAAGGGGCGCCGCCTTGGGTGGGTCTGGGAGAGCATAGGCCCACCCACTTGGGAGCCAGGCACACCCACTGGGAAGCCAGGCCCAGACAATCAGAATGAGTTTTTCCCTACAAAATGGCTTTATTACGGACATAAACACTCCCTAGTATCATCAGCTGTCCGGGTGGCTGGTGTCAGATGATCCTGCAGGTGAAGAAGCCGGATGTGGAGGTCCTGGGCTGGCGTGGTTACACGTGGTCTGTGGTTGTGAGGACGGTTGAACGTACTGCCAAATTCTTGAAAACGATTACGGTAGAGAAATGTACATTCAATTGTCTGGCAACAGATCTGGTGGACATTCCTGCAGCCAATTGCACACTCCCTCAAAACTTGAGACATCTGTGGCATTGTGTTGTGTGACAAAACTGCACATTTTATAGTGGCCTTTTATTGTCTCCAGCACAAGGTGCACCTGTGTAATGATCATGCTGTTTAATCAGCTTCTTGATATGCCACACCAGTCAGTTGGATGGATTATCTTGGCAAAGGAGAAATTATCACTAACAGGGATGTTATCAAATGTGTGCACAACATTTGAGAAAAATAAGCTTTTTGTGCATATGGAACATTTCTGGGATCTTTTATTTCAGCTCATGAAACATGGGACCAACACTTTACATGTTATGTTTATATTTTTGTTCAGTATATTTGTCTCAATTGTAGAACAAATGTCATAGTGCCTGCCTCAAGCTATTCAACAAACACTGCCCCTATATGGAAATACTCGAATACTCTTAATTGATGGAAATATGCAATAAATCCATGTATGGCTTCTCATTTCCGCAAGGCATCTAATTGACTGTTTCTGATCGAATTTCAGGTGATAATATCATATGCCCTACCTTGGCTCAAATAACCTGAGTTCAGCAGCCTCCTCTCCCCAGTGACACAGGGTTGGGACAGTGGGAAATCAGGGAGCCACAGCAGTGTCAGCCTATAGGACCTTTTGATACCTCATTAACATGGATCCATATGGGAGGGATGAAAACAACAGATCAAGGGCTTGGAGTCTCAGCCAGAGATGGTTTATAATGTTCATACAGACTTTGTCTCAGCATCATCAGCACCTACTGTACACAGGTTCATTAAAACCTCCTAATAAGGAGCTGGTTTTACATTTACATTTTACATTTTTGTCATTTAGCAGACGCTCTTATCCAGAGCGACTTACAGTTAGTGAGTGCATACATAATTTAATTTAATTTATTTTAAAAAATCATACTGGCCCCCCGTGGGAATAATGGCTTTACTGGGATATTGCTTACAGCTCTCACAGGTCGTCAGGTGTAACACATTGAATAGTATGACAGAAGGAAATAAGTTATTTTTTTGGTCAGACATACCCTCAATACAATAATATTGCAACAGATTCCGCAATATTGCAACACATTACATTTTGTGTGTAACTCAGAAATGTTTTGACTTTAAATCATGGTACTTCGCTTGAACTGGGTTGTAGTCATGCTAGATATCACAGAGTCGGTCTGACAGTTGAATTCGAAGAAGAAGCTATGACTATAAGAGGAAATATAACTCAATAAGGATTCAAAGAAAATGTCCTCAATTTCCAAAAGTTTTTTATAGGAAATTAAATGGACTTTCAATCATTTCCATTTAAAATGTTTAATTGGAAATCAAATAAAAAATTATCTGAATCCTCTGAATGATTCTGGTTAATTGTTGCTACTTCCTGGAAAGAGATGAATGGATGACTAGTGTGTGTGAGTGCAGAACTTCAGATATGTTCCTAGAACCTGAGTATCTAAGTGATCCAGCAGCAGAACCAAAACAAAGGTCATGACTCACGCTGCTGTCTATTCAGTCCGCTCTGATCCTTTTTCTGATCCGCTCTGGCCCATCCATGTTCACTGTCCTGCGACACATGTGAGACATCAACTTTTCAAAGCACTGGTAGTGCTGCTCATCTTTCATTTTAGCTTTAAGTAGGGAGGGAAATTCTCTACGATGACAATTGGTATATTTAGCTAGCTACCTAGACAATGTTGATTGATAGACACAGGGTGTCAGCTGCCATTATCAACACTGATATTGGATAGCACTGGAAAATGTTGAGACCAATGTTGATCCTCAGCATCCTCTTTAGTTAAAAAAGAAAATGGAAACCATGGAAAAATTTAGCAAAGTCCTTAATATCACCTAAGTTGATTGATAGAAAAGTTTTCCCAAACAGAATGGAAAGACAGGTAGGTATTATTCATGAATGGCGCGAGCTCTCAAAAACCCTTCTCCGTATGTAGGGTTTTCAGCCATTACATTCACCCACATTTGGCTATGTGTAAACTACAATTCTTACGCTTTGTTTTAACATTTAGAAACGTCAATAATCATCACTTTCGAAATGGTTATCAAAACATATGCTGATATGCCCCTTATCTTTCCTGTCAGCGAGAAAAAATCTTTCAAATAAGAAAGATATGCTTACTGTAGCAGTTTTGCACATATCCATACCGTGTGTGCCTCCATTTGACGAACTGCACTTCCTTCCCAGTTAGCTTACACGCAGGTGTTCGGAGCATGCTAGATAGCTAATTAGCACAGGTAGCGGCCTATCTCTTCCGTCTATCTTGACTTCCGTAAACAAACGCTGTAACATGGAGATATGGCTGTGTGGGAACACTAACCCTGACCCTATAAAGGTGTGTATCAATGTAACCTTTTGTTTTTTGAAAATAATTTCTCACTGATATGAAAGATAAGGTCCTTATGCTTCCAAAACCATACTGCAAGCGATGCGTGTTAATGTTCTAGACCGTGCGTCGGGGATCTTAACAAAACTCCCCCATACAGAAGATGCCTTCGTCCAACGAGTCTTATGTGTAATGTAATGGAACTGAGAGTCATGATCAAGGGTTGCACTTGCAGTAATGTACTACAGATAATGTTGGTTAGCTAGTCATTGTGTATGAATGAATGGTAAATGACACAGATGGAACTGAAAAGATCAATGTTCTTTCATTCACAGGCATGATTGCTAAGCATCTTCACAACACATTCAGACTTCAACATAGTTGTCACGATCGTCTAGAACAGATGAAGACCAAGGCGCAGCGTTGCAGACGAACATACTGAACTTTATTATCTACAGTGATAATAAGCACAACAAAACGACTCGTAACGTCCTCGGTAACATAGACCAAACACGGAACAAGATCCCACAAACACTAAGGGAAAACCGACAGTTTAAATATGGCTCCCAATCAGAGACAACCAGCCACAGCTGACACTCGTTGCCTCTGATTGGGAGTCACTCAGGCCAACAAAGAAATAAACAAACTAGAACTCCCAACAAAGAAATACAACACATAGAATGAACACACCCTGGCTCAACATATAGAGTCCCAGAGCCAGGGTGTGACAGTACCCCCCCCCCCCCCTAAAGGCGCGGACTGCGACCGCGCCTCAACTAGAACAAAACAGGGGAGGGCTGGGTGGGCATTCCTCCTCGGCGGCAGTTCTGGCTCCGGGCTTGCCCACCACCCTTCCACCATCCCCCCGTGGCGCCCCTGGTCCGGTCTGGCCCCGCTGGCTGGAGCTGGACCGGACATCGTAGAAGCGGACCGCTTTGGCTCCAGTGTGGAGCCGCTGACCGGTACCTTAACAGGCACCGGTGACCCAGGCACGGGTTGTGCTGGACTGACGACACGCACCCCTGGCTTGGTGCGTGGAGTAGGAACGGGCCGGACCGGGCTGACGATGCGCACCCCTGGCTTGGTGCGTGGAGTAGGAACGGGCCGGACCGGGCTGACGATGCGCACCCCTGGCTTGGTGCGTGGAGTAGGAACGGGCCGGACCGGGCTGACGATGCGCACCCCTGGCTTGGTGCGTGGAGTAGGAACGGGCCGGACCGGGCTGACGATGCGCACCCCTGGCTTGGTGCGTGGAGTAGGAACGGGCCGGACCGGGCTGACGATGCGCACCCCTGGATTGGTGCGAGGAGCAGGGACAGGCCGGACCGGGCTGGCGACGCACACCGTAGGCTTGGTGCGTGGACCAGGGACAGGCCGGACTGGGCTGGCGACGCACACCGTAGGCTTGGTGCGTGGAGCAGGGACAGGCCGGACCGGGCTGGCGACGCACACCGTAGGCTTGGTGCGTGGACCAGGGACAGGCCGGACTGGGCTGGCGACGCACACCGTAGGCTTGGTGCGTGGAGCAGGGACAGGCCGGACCGGGCTGGCGACGCACACCGTAGGCTTGGTGCGTGGAGCAGGGACAGGCCGGACTGGGCTGGCGACGCACACCGTAGGCTTGGTGCGTGGAGCAGGGACAGGCCGAACCGGGCTGTGGAGACGGATAGGAGACCTGGAGTGAAGAGTGGCCACAACCCGTCCTGGCTGAATGCCTACCCTCACACACTCTGTGTGAGGCATCCGCACATGACGTACAGGGCTGTGTACCCGTACTGGCATAACAGCACGTGACACTGGAGCAGGATATCCAGGACCGTGGAGAGGCATTGGAGACCACGAGCGTTGAGCCGGCACACTCCGTCCTGGCTGCATACCCACCTTCGCACGACACGTGCGGGGTGCTCACACAGGACGTACAGGACTATGCCGGACC